GTAACGTAAGTTTAGTCTATGGTTCTCGGTGAAATCCGACCCAAAGTGCGTGTCTATCGCCCCAACTTGCACGGCCCTGTATGTGGTACGAATGCGGCTGGACGCACACACGTGCAAGTACATGTAGAGTGATGTAATTTGAAGTGGGCCAGGGCGCCAGTTTTGCAATTTGGGTCAGAGTTCAATGAGCGCAACTGTAGCTGTTCGGAGGACATTGCATAGTCCAAGTATTGCCACTGTTCTCGCCCTTGAGGCAGTTGCTAGCTGACAGATATCACTCTTTTCTTTACTTGTTGTCTTCAGATTTCGAAGTTTCTGGATGTCTTACCAGTGGACGGGCTGTGGATTGACATGAATGAGATCAGTAGCTTATGCAATGGTTCTTGTGCTGATGATCTCGGTAGTTCCGTTGCAAAGGCTGCCATTGCCGCCCCGCAGGAAAGTAAGGATCAGCATTGAACATCATTGAATGCCACTCTTCCTAGTATCATTATTAGTAGCTTCTCCAAGTTGACATCAACGCAATGTAGATATGCTAGCACGTATAGCTTTCGTATAAGCCGAAATGATAACAGCCAAAGATAACATTGAATACGATGTGAACTTGTGAAGAAGAGATAGGCATGACTTCGGCGATACGTGGGAATTGTGCATCGCTCCCTTCGTGGAAGCTCGCGCTTTTCCTGCTAATTTCAATTCTCCATGTTCGAATATTTCCACTTACAGGGCCCGCATTTATCCCGCTGTGTATATCCTGTTAACTCTGAAGCGTAGGCTATAGTGAGCCTAAATGCCTTTTCCTCTTTCGTTCTACACCATGCAGGATCTGGGTTTGACGCTGTCAATCCGCCGTATGCTATTCACAATCATGGTGGAGACAGTCCACTGAACGTTAAGACCTTAGATATGGACTGTGTCCATGATGGCGGTATTTTGGAGTACAATGCACACAATCTATATGGTATGTACTCGTCTAAGTCTGTTGGGTTGTTTTTCTTTTTGCCACATACAATATCCTAGAATGTAGAGCCAATTATTAGATTAAAAATAAAGGGCCAAAATGTAACAGGTTTTCCGTACTTTCCCCAACACTAAAAACAAGATACTGTGGAGTCAGAAAGTGCGATAGTTATGGCTAGTGTTTGTGAATTTGGTTGATCTTTGAGGTTGGCGGTGTTGTTACAGATGCAGAAAGCTCGTTCTACAGACGAGTCTTGAGCGAACCGTGAATATTTTTGTCAATTTGAAATTTAAGAGGGCGAGATATGGGAGGTTCATCCGTGTGGGCTCAGTGTTATTGCTACCTGCAAACATAGAACGTGTGTGGGCAGTCGAATATGCGGGGATGTGTTGCATTGAGGAGAAAATTGACTCCGGTTTGACTTTTTTCAAATTTTAAGACAATACTCATTGCAAACCCTTTCTCCTAAATGAGGCGATCAAGCTTCAGACGCAAGCACAATAGCCTTGCATTATGAACTTGTTTGGGTTTGTTTGCGCGTGTGTATTTACCTGTGTGTGTGTGTGTGTGTGTGTGCATGTGTGTATGTGTGTGTGTATGTATGTGTGTGTGTGTGTGTGTGTGTTTTGTGTGCATGTTTGTGTGTGTGTATGTGTATGCATGTGTATGTGGTGTACATGTATGGGACCTATATGCCTGCCTGCGTGTGTGTATGCGCATGGATGTGTATGTGCGCGTGCATGACTGCAGGAGTGACTGAGGCCATTGCAACGAACAATGCATTGCAGACTCTGCAGGGCAAGCGCTCATTGATAATTTCAAGGTCAACGTTCCCTGGCAGCGGCTCACACACAGGACATTGGACAGGTGTGATCATTTTTATTCTTATTTTCTCACTATGAACAGACTACACTTTAGCCATTCATTTAATAGCCATACATATAATCATCATAACATCACTTCCATTATATTAACAGAAGGAGAACGGTGGGGCACAAGTTATTCATTAGAGTCCACCAACTAAACCAGGTTTTGAACAGTCAGACGTGCACAAGGTAGCACCAGAGCAGCACCACAACGCATAACTTGTGCCCCACTGTTTTCCTTGCTTCAATCTAATAGTTTCCTTGGCTCATCATCGGAGTACGTATCACTCTCATTCTTGTTTTTATATCACGTTTCATGTAATAGTAGAATGTTGCTGTGGACTTGCCCTAGCCAGTCTTTCTGCAGTAAGCATGGGGTTTCATTGGTGCGAGCCGGCTGCGAAATACAACTGCATACAAGTGTGCTACCAGAGCATATGTATGTATTGGAGATAGGTGTGTTGCCCAAACTGATTCTTCCACTTTGCATCTTCTGTTTCTGACGTCTACATCATGGCATTGTGTGCGTAGTGACCTGCTTTAGGTGTCGTCGTAAAAGTTGTTTTGTCGTCCCTGAAACGAACATTGGTCTTTTCATACTCGGTCCCCCTCCACTCCCTCTAAAATGAACACAAGTTGCTATGCTGGACGAGGAGAATCGCATGCATGTACATGTATACGGATAGCTATGTACAGTGTCTGGCGACTTAAGTTTTTTGCTCGTTCTCCCCCCCCCCCCCCCCCCAATGAATGATGTTCATTTCAGTGCCTATAAAAAACTATTGAGAAAACCCCTTACTATTAAAGCCCTGTTACATGCATGACTTGTTTCACGTCACTGTTTATCGTCTGCAGGTGATAACCATGCCAGCTGGGATGATCTGTACAACAGCATTCCGGGAATGTTGAATTTCCAGCTGTTCGGTATCCCGCTAGTGGGGTCAGATATCTGCGGGTTCATAGGTAAGACGTCTGTGATAGGAAACTGCCGTTACAGATATCATGTCATTGCAGTGTCTGCTCCAGAACCGGGTCACATAATTAAGTCACTACAGTGTCTGCTCCAGAGCCGCATCACATACCTATGTCACTACATGTGTAGCGTTGGCACGCTGGTGACTTCAAAGCGTATAGCGGATAGTGTTTAGAGTATAGCATATCCCGTACGTTACTATATCCCAGTACGTTAGCGTATCCCCGTACATTAGTGTACGGAGTTTGCCCGTGCATAAAAGCTGCTGCTCACGATTCTTTTGTTGCCAGTCAGTTTTGACTAGCCAGTTAATTTCATTGCCAGTTAATTTCATCGCCAGTTAATTTCATTTCCAGTTATAGTTACATTTCAATTACAGTGTCTGCTCCAGAACCGGGTCAAATACACATAATTATGTAGTGCCTGGTCCATAACCTGGTCAGCCGGGTCAGCGACCCAGTTGGGGGGTACTTGGACCCCGGTTAGAAAAAGAACTCCTGGTCACTTTCAGGAAGCCCTAAGATTCCTTGATGTACAATAGCCGCACTTTAATGTACCCGGGACTGACCCGTTTGCTAGAGTCATGCCAGGCACACGTGTACCCGGTTTGTTTGAAATTCTAGAGCACTAGGGTGGTGTACATTGCATCATCTTTCACCGCCATGTATATCGCACTCTCCTTGACCGGGACCTGCCTATTACATGGCTCGGTTTCAAATGATGCGCCTGAATGCATGCGCTCCAAATGTGTGTGCACACTTCCTCCCACTGTCCATTTTTTGGGAATTTTCTATGATGACTAAAGTAGGTCGCGAGCAGGCGTAACAAGATACTCGACGACTGTGTTCATCTCCAGAGTAGTGCACACAGGAACGTCTGTGCATTCCGAGACCTGAATCGAGAGTAGTCGAGAGTAGTACATGCATGAGCACAAAACGTCCAAGGGCCTGTATCACCTAAACTAAAACAAAAGTATTTCTCGAAAAATTGCCGCAAAAAAGGTCCTGGAACATGCTCGAATGTACTGTGCGGAAAGACCAGGTTCCTGTGAGCCATGATGTGATTGCTCAGTCCTGGTCTGAGAGTGTGCTCACTAGAATCAAATTTATTAACTTTTGAATTCTAAAATTTGTTGGTCTCTGTGTGGAGGCTACTCAGTGCACCTGACTTAACCCATTGAACGCTGATGAAGTCAACAGGCGTCATGGAGAATGCCCCCCCCCCCACCCATCTTGTTACATGTGTGTGTGTGTGGGTGTGTGGATGGGTGAGTTCAGGGATTCGGTCTGCTTCTATGCGCTAGTATCCAGCAACTATCAACATTGCACAGTCGATATCTACATCTCTCCCTCTGCTGCTCTTGTTTGACGTGTGTGCAGGGAACACTACAGAGGAGCTGTGTGGTCGATGGATGCAGCTCGGTGCATTCTATCCATTTTCTCGCAATCACAATATGAAAGGAGCAGCTTCACAAGTGAGTGCTTGATGTCTCTTGCAACATAATGAGTCACACTTTAACACGTACCAAGATCTGCAAGCATGTTTGTGAGAGTCGTTCGGCTGTAAGAATGACAAACTGGACTGAATGTTTCAATTTGAAACAGATTTCTGGGCCGCGGGTGTCTGCGTGGGGGGGGGAGGCGAAGGGGGGAGGGCAAGACAGCCATGAAGCACCGATACACCACAGGATATTAGTATTTGCTCTGGGGTGTGGGGAAGGGGGGGGGGGGGAGGGGTGAGATGTGGGTGAAATGTTAACATAAGTATAGCATCCTATGATGTTATCTATTGAGCCATTGGACTGGTGTATCCACACAAATACACTCTCACCCCCCCCCAACACACACACACATATGCACACACGTGCACATCTGCACACACAGGCACACTCCCACATCCACACATATACGAACACACACACACACACACCTGCACCTACACACCCTCAGAAACACACACACACACACCTACACTACTACTACTACCGTAGCTTGGTTGCCACAAGGGCCACACCACTCCGAAAGGAGCCAGGGACATTGTCAGGAGCAGAAACGGAGATGACGACTCAGGTCACTCTGTCGACGGAACTGACGGCTGCAGCGAGAACAGCGAACACCATACGACGCTCTATCAGACTTGGTTGCTCGATGGCCGCAGTCGCCCTTGTGACGTCTGAAACCAGGCACTGACTTGAATTGTCGATTGCATGTCACACAAAAGAGAGAAGCTGGGACATTGAGCGGAATAGGTGATGCCGGCGCGGACGCTTCCGATGGTTCCAGGGACAAACAAGCCACTACGAGAGTGAAACCACCTCATGCATGTACCACACTGCACAGCACCACGCTGATCCTGGATGGGAAGACTTCGCTCTGCGCTACACTTGTGTCTTGCTTTGTCACCTGGCCGACGAAACGAACGGTGGCAGATAAGACAGTGCACGCGTTGAGATTGGTCATGGGAAGGACCGCCGAGGCTCGGCTCAACGGCAGACACCCGCCAGTCAGACCGACCCTGAGCAATCCCATACCTTGTCGTTGTTGACACCTACACACACACACACGCACATACACACACACACACACACATGCAAGGACACGTACACAACCAAATACGGACACGTGCACATACATGTAGATGCACACTCGCATGCACATACACACCCAATAAGGGGTTTCTTCCATGCATCCACATCAATCCTCTCAACATTGCATTTCAAAGTGCTCATACCATGTTTTAGGAAAATAGTGTGGAATAAATGCCCGTAACTTTGCTATCCGTGGATGGATTTTCAATCGTTTTTTCCATGTGATTCGTACATCTTCTGGCTACAACAATCTGTTGATAACTCAAAATGCACCAAAATCGGAATAACGTCCCTTTTCGCTTGCTCTGGCTCATATTACAATTTCCATGTATGCAGGAGCCATATATATGGGAATCAGTGGCTTCAATCAGTCGCAAAGTGTTGGGTGTACGCTACTCTATCCTACCATACTACTATACGCTATTCCACCTTGCTAACAAGGACATTGTGGATGGTGATCCTGTGGCCACGGGGACTGTTACGCGACCTCTCTTCTTTGAGTTTCCAACGGATCCCAATACTTTTGCGCTTGACAAGCAGTTTCTGGTCGGGCCTGGCTTACTGGTTTCTCCTGTTTTAACACAAGGTGAGTGGCTAATGATGGCGGCAGTCGATTTCCGAAACTGATGTGATTGCCGAGACCATTACACAGAACAACCTCAACTACGGATCTCTGCAAATGTGGAGAATATCAGTTAGCATTCTGCAATAAGGATAGGTCCAGGTAGTGTTGTGGTTGGACCAGGCCTGTAAACCGTATCACTCATATTTTCTGATCTTGCAACTTTTCGCTTGTTGCACTATCACCACCACACACGCCGTTGGTGTTGCTGTTGCTGCTACCTCAGTGTACAACAGCGCTGATGCTCTAGGGCATACTGATTTGGCAGCTGGTGCTAGTTGAATTGCACCTACTTCTCCTGCTTATTTTGCTGCTGGTGCTTCTGCTGCTGATTCTGCTGCTGCTTCTGCTTGTTATGCTGATGCTGCGGCTGCTGCTACTACTTTTGTTGCAGCTGGTGCTGCTGTTTCTGCTGCTGTTTCTGCTGCTGTTGTTGCTGTTGCTGCTGGTTCTGCTGCAGCTCTTGTTGCACATTAATTGGGGTGAGGGTGGGATGTCCAACGAGTGACTACTTCATTTGCCGTATCTGACAAGCCGGATTCATTTTGTGCGGCATTTTCATTTCTACAATGCTGCAGGTACTACTAGTGTGGATGCGTACTTTCCAGCTGAGCGTTGGTTTGATTACTACGATGGTGCCGAGCAGTCATCCACCGGTGCCTATGTATCTCTCTCCGCTCCAATGGATCACATCAATGTATGTTACATGCCACATTCCTACCATCTTTCCCTTCTTTCTTTTTCATGAAAAAGTGTCTGCTCTCTACGTCGGAGCTCGCGCTTCCTGCAGAGTCAATTGACACTTGACTGACTTACGACTGCGTCTGGAGCACACGAGAAGACCCTCGAGCCTTCCTCTCGGCAAACCTGCCAGAAAGAACCATTCTCTGCTCAATACAAAGTGTTTTGGGGGAATTCACCCCTCATCAGTTGAGGTTCGATGGGCTTCTCGTGTTCAACAGACGCAGTCGTGAGTCAGTGTAGTGTCAAGTCAATCGTCACCGATGCATGCAGCAGAAACTTTCTTCACTAATGAGTAGTAATTGCCTGTGCCATGTCTGGTCGGCTAGGAACTCAACATCTGAAATGAATTTCGGAACTGACTTTTTTTCATAGTGCATCATGCACTTTACTCCTCCAGTATTGCTGGCACCAGTTTCAGTGTAGCATAGTTCTACAGATGTCAAGTAAATTGAATGTATAGTGCTGTGTGAACTTATTTAAATGCACACAACATTGGCATTTGCTCATTCATCAACAGATTGGGAGTTGGTATGGTGGCGTAAAGCCGTTCATCAGCACTCTATTCCTGATAGTGTTGTGTTCTCTGGATGCTATAATGCCCTGTCTCAGCTTCACATCCGTGGTGGTGTCACGATTCCAAGACAAACACCAGCTCTGACAACTAAAGCCACCCGTACAAATCCCTTCAACCTACTTGTTGCACTAGACGAAGACCAATCGTCACTGGGCTATCTGTTTTTGGATGATGGTGACTCCCTTGGTGACTCAAGGTATGAACCGCTGCCTAATTTCCTTTTCTTTCCGCTGTTTTTACATACATGTTTAACTACTCTGGACCGATATCAGCGTGAGGACGTTTGGCTTGGACATGACTGTGTTCATGTAGCTGCTCTGGACATGGTTCTATGTTAGACGTAAAACTTGTAGAATGCCTACATTGTATACGAATTTCCAGTTCAACGTGTATTGGGTACTGCACATTAGAATGCCATCTCATGCAGCTCGCATACATGCATGTGCGAGCAAAGTACACAACCATTGCAGGGCCAGTGACTCCAACGGGCATGCCAAGGCTACTCATCAGCAATTCCTATATTTTGCAAGCTAGATGTACTGGCGTAGTGCAGTCAATGGACAAGTTTCTTTTTACACCTGAATTCTGCCAGAGATGAACGTAAAGGGCGCTCACTCCACTGTGTAGTTCTTCTAAACAAGCTAAGGCAATCTGGTTGAACAATAATAGAAAAAGAGTGCTCAGAATAACACACCAGGGAGTCATCAAACACTTGTTGCACTGTATTTGACGACTCCCTGGTACACCATGGTACACACGTCAACATGCAGCAACTATGTGCTGTAGCATTCTTAATTTTTAAACTGAAATGATGTGGTATGGTATTGTATGATGTTTCAGCTGTGTTTTATTGTGGCTACCATGTCTATTGCTATGACGATGTCGTGCTGGATCTTTTTTAAGTCTTCGGTTTTGAGTACTGTATACACTCTGATGACTTTTATCAGACTTTTTGTTAAGGTGTAGGGGAAATACCTTTTTTTTCCTGTTTTGATAATGATTGATAGCACGTCAATACATAATTATTGTAGTCGAAATGTGTTGGCAGTTGGGCTAGTTTCAACAGCAGACCAATGGTCTGATCTGTGGGCCATGTGATATATTTGTTTTCGTCTGTTTGCTGCGGGCCTGATGGCATAATTATTGCCCCTCAGGCTAACCTATCCGTGCAATAATATGCCAGAAGGCCCTCGCAACCATGCGACAACATACACGGGCACTTAACATTACGTGATGTACCAGGTCTGCTTTTGAGCAAGACCCCTCCTTTCTCCAAATTCTCAACTCGGGCTTCACATGCTGCGCCCACATTTTTGTCCATGTGATATTGTTAGAGAGAGCAGGTTGAAAGGTGATTCGGGTCCTTTGCATTGACCTGTTTTCTTTTTTTTGTACTGCTCAGTCATATGTTTATCACCTACACCACTACGTGTGAGTCATCTGGATGCATACTTCAAGCAAAGGTCACAACCAAGGTTTGTTCAGTGATGATTCTGTTGTGCTTATTATGCTGCCTGATGATTGCGAGAGCATGAAACTTCAAGTCGCAGCAAACAAGCCTCGATTGTCCTTGTTGTTTTGTTCTATTGTGCTTATTATATGAAACAACGGACCCAGTGCAGTCCTGCTGAATGCATTCCAGGCACGTCACTCAAGTTCGCGCCCTGAACCATTTCGCAGGCCAGTGTTCGCAGATCTAGAACTGCGCGAACTTGATTGACGCGACTGGATTGCAGTTGCGCAGAAGTGCTAATTTTAGCATTGATAACCTAGCAGCACTGATGGCAGTATTAGTCTTACAATGCTAGTCTGGCTATGCTGATCTAGCAGTGCTGAGATTCTAGTGACCACAGGTGAAGGTAGCCTTCCATTTCTGATGGTACAGTCTACTTCGCTAATAGCGACAAGGGATATAATGACAATTGGCGCATAACGACAAAATGTCCATGCCCAGAGCAAGTCCCATCTAACTGTAATACATACACGTATAATGAGACTTCGGGTACAAGGACACTTCGCGAATAAGGACATTTTTCTGATGCCTCGCCGAGTGTCGTTATACGTAAAGTTGACGATGTGCTGTGCTGTTTTGCTTGACAAGTGGGCCAATTTTGCCTTCTGTTTCAGCTGTGGTTTCTGCTCAAAATTAAGCTGTGGCTGGTGGTGCCTTTGCTGTTGCTGCTGCTTTACTGCTGCATCACGCTAAGTTTGATTGTTGCATGCTGTGTTTTGTCAGGGTTCATTGGAAACCAACACCCCCAAACTGGATGCCGTGACAGTGTACGGTGTTTCCGAGTCGCCCCTGCGTGTCTTCTTGAACAAGAAGGCTTTCACAAACTTTGCATATGACGCATCTAACAAGGTGGTCATCTTTTCCTCAATGTCACAGAGAATGGAAGAAAGTTTTGTCTTGTTCTGGTTGTGAAGTGGACCAATTCTCAGCGAATTAGTCCTTTGCAGTCCAGCACTGATTCTCAGATCCTGTGTTCTTTGCTTGACTGCACATTGCATGCATGATCCTTCTCCTGTCTAATGCTTGTAATAGTTCTTGTCCTTGCTGTACTTTGTCACGCATGTATTTGGGTGGAACTGAATGATGAAGACAATCGTGAATGATAATTCCACCATACTGACTGAAAGAATACCAAATCTGTGTGCTCCATTCAGACGGTGGCCGCGTTGACCTCTAAAAGCCTTTTCAGAATCAAGATTATAATCGGGGCTTTCGTCTTGTACAGCACTCTCGGTAGGCTGCTCTAGTGCTGCTGCATCACGCATTTGCACTCTGGCGATAGAGCAATGCGCTATCTTTAATGTCTGTGATGCCTCCTTTGCACCACGGCAGGTAGCTTGGCCTATTTAGCTCGTAGCTGTACTGATGAGGCCCTTATGGCCGAAACAGCTTTCTGTCTACAGCACTGGGTGACTGGGATTATCTGGTTTTATGTACGTTCTTAGCCCTTTTTAGTTTTACCACTGCAGCGTACTGTCACCTGTCCAATAACGACCCGCGAAAATGGGTCGTTTTTACTGAAACACACCACATCTAAAAGTTCCTATCTCTGGCATCCATGCTCCAATTTTTTTAGTGTTCCATGCCTAGTGAAATGTTTGAAGCAGTCACAGTCACAATGCCGAAGCAAGGGCCGCTGATCCAAGGGGGAATTGCTGTCGGCTATTTTGACAGAGTGAAGAGAAAAGGGGTTGTCCTAGCGCAAAGTGGCCGCATCGAAAACCACTAGGAACGATTAAAAAGACACCTCAGATGCCATATTTCCAACCAAAGATGTCAATAAATCATTGTTCGCCTAAGTAGTTAGTGCGGGGCAGGTTCTGGGCCACTTTTTGACCTTTGACCTTTGGGCCAAATAAGGCACACTGTGTCGGTCGTGCTTGGTCTGGCCCCGGGACTTCCCCCAGGGTTTGACCTTTGACCTTTGGGTTAAATAAGGCACACTGTATCGGGCGCGCTTGGTCTGGCCCCGGGACCCCCCATAGTTTGACCTTTGACCCCTGGCATGCCATAAATGTGCCATAAAGGTTCTTTTCGCCATAGGTGGCGAACGTGCACTTGTGCACGTTCGGTGCATTCGCACCGTGGAGTAGTAAAATACGTACTATTCCCTGATTTGCACATCGTAGATGTGCATTGCATGCAGTGAATGACATATTGCGCATGCGTGCATACGCACGCGGAGGGTGTGACCTTCAGTGGTCCTATGCGTGTGGAAAAGACGCAGTGCAACACAAGGTGTACTAGTACACGTGTCATTATACTACTCCCTGATTCGCACTTCGTAGCCTGATGTGCAGCAAACAAGTAAGTGTTAGTTAGTTCACGTGCCATGCACTCGTTTTATTCGCACATCATAGATGTGCACTGACAAGTTGCCCATACAGAGCATGCCTAATCGGTTTTTCGATCGGTTAAGAGAATGTTCAAATTCGGCCATATTATGAGCTCCAAGATCAGAATTCGGCTTGACATAGTACTTGAAGTCACCGTTCCCATTACGTCATGTACATTTACATACACCCTGTTGAAGCACTGAAGCATCGGTTTTCGGCGAATTCAACATGCGAATTTTTGAACATTCGGCGAAAAGATGGGTAATTTCTTCAAAAACCACTTTTTTCCGCGAATTTTTCGGCCGGCCGATTTGGGAAATGCCTACTGTCCATGCAGGTGCAATAGATGCATATTTCTATTTTGATCGGAATTCAGTAAGAATCAACCGGCTACGCCCGCAGTATCATGCATCAAAACAATTATTGAAGGGGTGTCACAGTGAAGCAGTGTTGCTACGCACCACAAATCCCCTCTGCACTGTACCGAATCTATACTGGAGAATCCAGAGTGGCCAGCAAAGAGTCACAACCCGCGGGTATCCAGTCACACTAAGGCATGTCCACCATTCCCCACATATTCACCGTAACAAAACACAATACTGTTTACTATAATACACTTTTATTTAAATTGACTTGGATGAGTCTGTAGAAGAGAACACAATGCACGCACACGCACGCATGCGCGGACACACACACGCACACACGCACACACACACACATCTAGGTTATAGTGCTATACACGTATCTAGGGTTTAGGAAGCACGAGAATATGTCGAAGCACCCACACATACCCCTTCATGCAGTGTACTTCAGTAGCCGAACACATTACGACCGCTCAGGACCATCACAAAACACATTACGACTGCACTGTTACTACACTACACACACAGTTACTACACTACGCCTGTTACAAGTACTTACAAATAATTTTGAAAACAAATGGCACATCCCGAAGACGGCAGCTAGCTCCAGACCTTCATACATACATCATCATCATCTGTAAAACCAAGCATGAGCGCACACAAACACTATTAGTGTCACGAATACGGAAGCAGGGTAAGACAAGAGGATACGAAACAAGTAAGTATCGCTATAACGAGGGGGATAAGTATACATGTAGACAGAGCAGTGCTTACTTACAGGGTCCTGATACGCTCCATGGCGTCCCGGTAGTCGGACTGCAACAGCAGCCCGACCTGCCGGCCCTCCCAGTAACGGGTTCGATGGGCCGCACCCGCCAGGTGTGCGGCCACGGCTTGGCCTCCCACCAGCCTTTCTCCACTGTAAAAACGAAAGAAACCGCAGAAAGCACAGTGTCATAGAGCTCTTTTGTTGGGGGAGAGAGCTGGGAGCACTGCACACTTACTATTTGTCACAATATATTATGAGAAAGAGGCGGCGCTTGACGCACCGCCTCAGGTGCTGAAACAGGGGTATAACCCCTGTAAGTTCCACACCGCGGTGACATGTGAAAGCCATACTGTAATGATACTGAAGTGAAGGTGTGAACCGCAAAGCAAGGCCTTTACCTTCTTCCTGTCGAATTCGTTCTCCAGCTGCATAACGACATCATCCGCTAAAATCCAATCATACCAAGTAATGCAAAGGTCATCAGTTGACCTTTTGGACTTTTCAACTCTTATCCAAAACCACCAAGAGGAAAAAAAACAGGATAATAATAATAATCTTTATTTCAGGATTACCCAAAGGCTAACGCCTATCTGGGGATGAAGAAGACGTCAGTTGTAGAAGCGTTTGTGGAGGAGTTGTTACATTATTCTCAGTAAATAGATATGGCTGATACATTCGGTGTAGACGTGGACGACCGGTCGTGGTCTCTCACCACGGGTCCTTTACTAATAGAAAGGCGGACGCCAATAAGAACTGTTGTGGACTTGGCAGATCAAAACGCGCAGCAAGAAATTTGGCACGTCGATGGTAGACTCCATCGGGAGGACGGACCAGCTCTTGTTGATAGTAGGGGAGTGTCCGCCTGGTGCTATGGAGGTCGCCTTCATCGCATTAATGAACCTGCTTGGATAGGACGGGGTAGCATCGAGTACTACCTCAACGGCGTCTAGAGCCGGCGGTCCTGCAGTCAGTTATTGTGACGCCACATACTGTATTCTGCGGTGGTATCACCACGGAAGGCTCCACAGGGAGAATGCGCCAGCGGTGATACGCAGGGAAGGTAACAATCGTGTACGGGAGTGGTACCGATACAACCTTGGGCATAGGGAAGATGGACCTGCTTTCATCTCTCAGGAGGAGGAGGGTGTCTATCAGTGGTACCTCAACGGGGTGTATTACGGTGACCACCATCAAGACCAGGCAATACACCTGCCGCTTGTTGATGTTGTTGTCGGTTGTTGTCGTCGTTATCGTCGTCGTTGTTGATGTTGTTATTAGTTGCTGCTGTCGGTTGTTGGTTGTTATTGGTTGTTGCTGTCGGTTGTTGGTTGTTATTGTTGATTGTTGTGGGTTGTTGTTGGCTGTTGGATGTTGTTGTCGGTTGTTGTCGGTTGTTGTTGGTTATTGTTGGTTGTTGTTGGTTGTTGTTGGGCGTTGTTGGTTGTTGTCGGTTGTTGTCAGGTGTTGTTGGTTGTTGTTGGTTGTTGTTGTCGGTTGTTGTCGGTTGTTGGGTGTTGTTGTCGGTTGTTGGGTGTTGTTGTCGATTGTTGGGTGTTGTTGTCGGTTGTTGGGTGTTGTTGTTGGTTGGTGTTGGTTGGTGTTGGTTGTTGTTGGCTGTTGTCGGTTGTTGTCCGTTGTTGTTGGTTGTTGTTGGTTGTTGTTGGCTGTTGTTGGTTGTTGTTGTTTGTTGTTGTCGGTTGTTGGTTGTTGTTGTGTGTTGTTGTTGGTTGTAGTTGGTTGTTGTCAGTTGTTGTTGGTTGTTGGATGTTGTTGTCGGTTGTTGTCGGTTGTTGTTGGTTGTTGTTGGTTGTTGTTGGCTGTTGTTGGTTGTTGTTGGTTGTTGTTGGTTGTTGTTGTTTGTTGTTGGCGGTTGTTGGTTGTTGTTGTTGTTTGTTGTTGTTGTTGGTTGTAGTTGGTTGTTGTCAGTTGTTGTTGGTTGTTGGATGTTGTTGTCGGTTGTTGTCGGTTGTTGTCGGTTGTTGTCGGTTGTTGTTGGTTGTTGTTGGCTGTTGTTGGCTGTTTTTGGTTGTTGTTGGTTGTTGTCGGTTGTTGTCGGTTGTTGTGTTTTAATCGTTATTTTGTTCATTACCCAGGAGGATGTTGCTATGATCCAGTACCATTTTTTCGCATATATGAGACATGTTTGTGTAACGTTAGTGTGACGTGGGGTCTGCTGATTGGATGTGAGGTGGTGAGAGTATGCTGATTGGCCGATAACAATTAGTGGAAGGGATAAAGTAATGCGCTGCTTGTGCAGCGTAACCAAACACATGGTCTGTGGGAAACACCCTAGTAAAATAAATAAAAATAATAATAACATGAATTGCCACCGGCACTTGAGAGACTCGAGCCCCGCCACCTTGTTCAAATCGGACTTGGTAGCTTCATACTGGAACTTAATCTTCTTCTTTTTGAGGTATGACCGTACAAAACGCGCTTGGATTTTTTCATTTTTTTTATTTTTTTTTTATTTTTTTTATTTTTTATTTTTTTCATTGCAACTTTTTTAGCAGATAGCAACTTTTTTAGCAGACTCGTGAAACAACGGTGAATCTGGAACGAATAAATGGTCCATGTCAAAGGCATGACGAGTCTCGAAGTCTTCACATTCACGATGGAACCTTGTCATGATTGACGCATTCCTTGATGGTGCGCACATGAAATCACCCTGGCTCATCTTTTCCAACTCCATT